ATGTTCCGAAGAACCTCGTGGCAGCTATATAAGAAATTCTGTGGGTCCTCAGAAGAAGCGTCGCTGAATGTAGTAGTGAAGAGCTTAGTGAACCTATCCAGCCTCCACAAAGCATCTGCGGACATAGCCGCTCCATCGCCGGTCTGAGCAACTACCCCCGGCTGAACTGCCATAGCTGGCTGAACCACTGGAATCTGACCCTGGGGAGCTACCTGCTTCGGAGTACGTGTAGCAGGAGTCTGGGCTCCTCCTCCAGCCTGAGAAGTGGCTGGTGCTACGGGAAGCAATCCTGCTCGGGTGACACTCTCCATGAGGCCCACCAACCGGACCAAAGTGTCCTGAAGAACTGGGGTAGCAATAAACCCCTCTGGGACCTGAGCTGGGCCCACCGGAACCGCTGCGGCTGGGGCCGGAACCTCCCCCTTAAAGTCAACCTGAGGCTCCGCCACTGGTGCTGCTGCTTGAGGCTGAGCTCTGCCCCTACCTCGGCCTCTAGCACGGCCTCGTCCTCGCCCTCTGCCCCTAGCGGGAGCTGCCTGGGGCTCGGACTGCTGATCGGTAGATGAAGAAGTGCGTGTTCTCGCCATCTGCAAAAGAACAGAGTGGAAATCCAATTAGCATTGAGAAACAGAACCGCACGACTAGAAAGAACAAATGTGAAACTTTTCCTAACTCTGTAGCCTCTAGGGGATAAATACAGACGTCTCCGTACCGATCCCTCAGACTCTACCAAGTTTGTCCGTGAGTTGTGAGACCTATGTAACCTAGTGCTCTGATACCAACTTGTCACGATCCGGATTTCCCACCCTCGGGGGTCGTGATGGCGTCTACTCGTAGTAGCTAAGCAAGCCATTTTGATTACTTTTCCATTAATAAACAATTCTTTTTAAAAATTTATGATAACAATATAAAACAACAAAACTAATTAATAGCGGAAGTCTTAATTATAGAAACTGAATAAAACACGGAGTAGTCAATATAAGCCTCTACCCAAGACTGGTGTCACAATACTCACGAACTGCTAAGAATTTCTAAATACAAGGGTCTGAAAGAACACATAAGCTGTTTGTCTCGAATACAAAGAGGCAACAGTCTAAAAGGGAGAATAAGAGAGAGACGCCGGGCCTGCGGACGCCTGCAAGGCTACCTCGGGTCTCACGATACTGAAAGCCTGCTCCTGTGCTAATGCTGCTGCTGCTGCTCGAAACCTGGGCCTGTGCAAAAAAAAATACACAGAGTGTAGCATCAGCACGACCGACCCCATGTGCTGGTAAGTGTCTAGCCTAACCCCGGCGAAGTATATGTGTCTATACTATACTACTATATGTATCTGTATATATATATATATATATATATACAGCGGAATCGAAATACAAAGCAGATAAGCGATATGGGAGGGAAAACATGCTGTGGGGAGTATAATAAATTCCAAATAAGAGTCGTCCGGTAATAAAGGAATACAGCACAATTCAATAGTATGTAATGAAACAGAATTCAACCAGTGCACGGCATCACCCTTCGTACTTTTACTCTCGTCCTCACCAAGCAAAAACATGTGCACAGCATCACCCTTCGTGCTTTAACACTCTTTCTCATAATAAGCAAACAATGCACGACATCACCCTTCGTGCTTTACACTCTTTCCTTACCATAAACAAATAGTGCACGCAAATCGAGGCAACCCTAAATGAGGTTTTCGAGGCCTCGAAAGCACGGAATGAATGAGAAAATAGGTGATGACCCTTTGGGTCGTCACATTCTCCACCTCTAAAACAACCGTTCGTTCTCGAACGGACAAAAGAAAGAAGTACCTGAGTCGGGGAAAAGATGAGGATAACGACTCCGCATGTCAGACTCAGACTCCCACGTCGATGCCTCAGGAGGCTGACCTCTCCACTGAACACGAACAGAAGGAAAGCTCTTGGATCTCAACTGACGAACCTGCCGGTCTAGGATAGCTACCGGCTCCTCCTCATAGGACAAATCCTTGTCCAACTGGATAGTGCTGAAGTCTAACACGTGGGCTTGATCGCCGTGATACCTCCTAAGCATGGATACATGAAAAACTGGATGCACGGCTGATAAGCTAGGCGGCAATGCAAGTCTATAAGCCACCTCTCCCACTCGATCAAGAATCTCAAACGGACCAATGTACCTAAGGCTAAGCTTGCCCTTCTTCCCAAATCTCATCACGCCCTTCATAGGCGACACTCGGAGCAATACCCGCTCACCAACCATGAAAGCTACATCTCGAACCTTACGATCTGCATAGCTCTTTTTCCTGGACTGAGCTGAACGAAGCCTATCCTGAATGATCCTGACCTTGTCCAAGGCCTCCTGAACCAAATCTGTACCTATCAACCGAGCCTCTCCCGGCTCAAACCATCCAATCGGAGACCGACACCGCCTACCATACAAAGCCTCATAAGGAGCCATCTGGATGCTCGACTAGTAGTTGTTGTTGTAGGCAAACTCTGCTAAAGGCAAGAACTAATCCCATGAACCTCCAAAGTCAATAACACAAGCTCGAAGCATATCCTCCAAAATCTGAATAGTCCGCTCGGACTTACCGTCCATCTGAGGATGAAATGTTGTGCTCAACTCAACCCGTGTGCCCAACTCTCGCTGGACTGCTCCCCAGAAGCGCGAGGTAAACTGCGTACCCCGATCCGAAATGATGCATACCGGCACACCATGAAGGCGAACAATCTCCCTGATATAGATCTCAGCTAACCTCTCGGATGAATAGGAGACTGCCACAGGAATGAAATGCGCTGACTTGGTCAGCCTATCAACAATGACCAAAACTGCATCGAACTTCTTCCGGGTCAACGGGAGTCCAGTAACGAAGTCCATAGTGATCCTCTCCCACTTCCACTCGGAAAGCTCAATCCTCTGAAATACAGCACCAGGCCTCTGATGCTCGTACTTAACCTGCTGACAATTCAAACAACGAGCCACAAATGCTACGATATCCTTCTTCATTCTACGCCACCAATAATGCTGCCGCAAATCCTGATACATCTTCGCGGCGCCCGGATGAATAGAGTACCGGGAGCTATGGGCCTTCTCTAAGATCAACTCTTGAAGCCCATCCACATTAGGCACACAAACTCGCCCCTGCAATCTCAAAACTCCATCTGCATCTAAGGTAACCTGCTTGGCACCTCCTCGCTGCACCGTGTCTCTAAGGACGCACAAATGGGGATCATCAAACTGTCGATCACGGATACGCTCCAATAATGAAGAACGAGCGACCGTGCAAGCTAATACTCGGTTAGGCTCAGAAATATCCAGCCTCACAAATCGATTGGCCAAAGCCTGAACATCCAAAGCAAGCGGCCTCTGACTGACCGGAATATAAGCAAGACTGCCCATACTGGCTGACTTCCTACTCAAAGCATCGGCCACCAAATTGGCCTTTCACGGATGATATAATATGGTGACATCATAATCCTTCAACAATTCCAACCATCTCCTTTGCCTCAAATTCAACTCCTTTTGCTTGAACAGGTACTGAAGACTCTTGTGATCAGTGAACACCTCACATGCCACGCCATACAAATAATGCCTCCAAATCTTCAATGCTTGAACTATGGCTGCCAACTCTAAGTCATGCACTAGATAGTTCTTCACATGAATCTTCAACTGCCTCGAAGCATAGGCAATGACCTTGCCGTCCTGCATCAACACTGCACCAAGCCTAATACAGGAAACATCACAATAAACTGTATAAGGCCCTGATCCTGTGGGCAAAACCAACACCGGTGCCGTAGTCAGAGCTGTCTTGAGCTTCTAAAAGCTCGCCTCACACTCATCCGACCATCTGAACTGGGCACCCTTCTGGGTCAATCTGGTCATCGGGGCTGCAACAGATGAAAATCCCTCCACGAACCGTTTGTAATAGCCTGCCAACCCCAAGAAACTCCGAATCTCTGTAGCTGATGCTGGTCTAGGCCAGTTCTTGACTGCCTCTATCTTCTTTGGGTCCACCTGAATACCCTCAGCGATACAACGTGACCCTGAAATGCTACTGAACTCAGCCAGAACTCACATTTGGAGAACTTGGCATATAACTGACTATCCCTCAGAGTCTGAAGAACCACTCTGAGGTGCTGCTCGTGCTCCTCCTGGCTGCGGGAGTACACCAAAATATCATCAATAAAGAATATCATGAACATGTCCAAATATGGCCTGAACACTCAGTTCATCAGCTCCATAAATGCTGCTGGGGCATTGGTCAACCCAAATGACATGACCAAGAACTCATAATGCCCATACCGAGTACGGAAAGCTGTCTTAGGGACATCGGATGCCCTAATCCTCAACTGATGGTAGCCAGACCGCAAGTCGATCTTGGAGAATACCCTGGCACCCTGAAGTTGGTCGAACAAATCATCAATCCTCGGCAGTGGATACTTATTCTTAATCGTTACCTTGTTCAATTGCCGGTAATCAATACACATTCTAATTGACCCATCCTTCTTCTTGACAAATAACACCGGCGCACCCCAAGGAGAGATACTGGGTCTAATGAAACCCTTCTCAAGCAAATCCTGCAACTGGTCTTTTAACTCTTTCAGCTCCGGCGGGGCCATACGATATGGAGGGATAGAAATGGGCTGGGTGCCCGGAGCCAAATCAATACAGAAATCAATGTCCCTGTTGGGTGGCATACTCGGCAGTTCTGAAGGGAAACATCTGGAAACTCCCGGACAATAGGCACAGAATCTATATGAGGAACCTCGACACTGGAATCACGAACATAGGCCAAATAGGCCAGACACCCCTCTCGACCATACGACGAGCCTTCACGTACGAAATGACGCTGCGGTAGGATAACCTGGAGTGCCTCTCCACTCTAAACGAGGCATGTCCGGCAAAAGCTAAAGGT